TTCAGATTCGGGCCAGATGCGGTCCATTAGTATTTGGGCCATTCTTATCATAGTGTATGTAGAGAACATAATTAAGTCGAGTTAAACTATGTAAATTTACATTTAAAAATAAAAATAAAAATGTTTTCGAATTTTAACGAACCAATGCTCGACTCATTAATTAAACGAGGTTCAAAACAATCGAAAAATAATTCCTTGTCATCATGGTTGCCTTATAGTTTTTTTATTCTCAGACTGTGGGTTACCAAGTAATTGTATAATAATCATGCGTTTGTGCCGACCGAGACTACTAACTGGCGAAGACTTCGCTGGGTGCGAAAGCAGCACTAACAACCAATGAAAGTTCATGCTGGCGCGTATTCGACACTTGTTGATGGCGAAAGTTGCTTAAAAGTTGATTTAAGATTTTTTTTTTTAAGACTTTGCCTACTATGTAGATGTCAAAAAAATCTAGTAGAGATGTAAACAAGTTGAACCAAGTTTGAATTTATGATACTCGAAGCATGATTGAACCATGCTCGTTTATCAGTATTTAATTAGACGAAACGAACTCAAATTTTACCCGATAGAGGTATAAAAAAAATTATATGAAAATCTCTATTTTTGGCATTAACAAACTTTAAATGAAATGAGCCGGTCTCGAACCTTTGCGAGTCGAGTTCATGAAAAACTCGTCGTTTTTAACCAAAGACAAATTGTCTTAGATATGAATACCTCTATTACAAAAATTTTGAAAAAATAAAAATAAAACTTTGGGCCATAAAAATGCTACTATATGATACTGTACGGACAAAAAATAGGCTGAAGATCGGACTTTGAAGCTGGACTCCGAGAGTGGGCCTATTGCTGTCATCAATGAAACAGATTGGAATAGGTCTGCGCATGCAATTGGATTGTACAGACATAAATGGAAATAAATGAGAACTCAGAAATTAAAAACTTTTAAATAAATAATTATGGGAAAATAGAAATTTGGTGGAATTAAGAAGAATGTTGCACAAATAGTTCTATTTATTCATTTGACAAAGTTATTAATTTCAGATTAAGATCCCAAAAATACATGTTATTGTTGTATCCACCTTTCACAATTATCGTACTTCAATTTCGTAATACTTTTTATTTCATCAACATATTTTCATACAATTTGACTAACAAATTAAAAAAATTAAATAATTATTATCATATATTTTATAGTAATAAACACTATTATTTTCTCGCATATTTATAACTACTACTTTTATTGTTACGTACATATTTACCTCATATCCATTTGAAACTTTAAATTTATCTCATTTGTTTTAAAGACAACTGTTTTTACCTTTTATATCCAATCAAACCTAGACGTTCTTTCATTTAATTTTACTTAATCCCATTTGATGAATACCACACGTGTCTGATAATGTCATATATGTATACGCGTAATCTATATAACAAAATTTAAATCTATATATATTGAAAAAGAGAGGTCAATAAATCATTTTTAGAAACTTTTAAAAAACTGGTCAATAACACCATTGACTTCCCATTTGTGGAAACTAATTTAAAAAATCCAAAAATTATTTATTTTTTGATTTTTATTTTGTTTTAAACCATTCAAAAACAGAATCAGCAAAAAACAGGCAAAATAGAATACTGAATCATTCCAGTATAAACGAGTTCATACAATAGCGCAATTCACGCGTTTTTAAACATTAACGCATTTAAAAAATAGAATCTATCATATTTTGGTTAATATCTTAACAAATCATTCCACGATACGCGTTTAAAAAAATAGAATCATCATATTTTGGTTAATATCTTAACAAATCATTCCACAATTTTCGTGGAGATAAACGAGCAATTTTTGGTATAAAAAGGTATTCATTGATATAATTTTTTTATCAGCTCTTCAAAATTAATGCGCAAAATGCAGAAAAAAAAAATACAGAGAAAATACAATGGCATTCGCACGTGATTTATTATTATAAGGTGAAGATCGTGAAGCAGAAGAGGAGGACAATCATCACCAGCAGTTACACCCACAGGAGCCACGAAACCTTGCGGCAGGAGCCGATGATGAGTCCAGCCATGGACACGAGGAGCTCGGCTATCGCTGATGACTGACCGGTCGAGGAACCGCTCGCACTCAGTGTTGGCCTGCCGGGAAAGCCATATACCGCCGCCGATGATCGGGATCGAATGGTCGAGCGTGATGAGGTTCAGGAGCCCGACTAGGTTGTTACCGCAACGCACTATGATTTTGATTTTTTCTTCCTTTTCGATTTCGAATTATCTGCAACTGATTGGGAGGATTTGTGGGTATTTTTATACGATTGAGAGTAGGGATGGGTGGAGAATCTGGAGATGTTTCTTGATATTCAGGGGCGGAGAAAGCACATAGAGGGGTTAATTATGCCGGCAAAACGAGTGGGGGCGAGTGAGACGCGTGGTAGCGTTGGAAGATTAAGAAAAAAGAAACAGACGCGTGGTAGTGAGCCGCTGTGTACAAGCGTTTCAGTTTGTGGTTACCAAATTGTATTGAATGTTTGTTTTGTTTTTGTTTTGTTTCCAATCAAATCAAGGTAGTATTTGAATTCTAATTTAAACACAATTTCAATTATGATAGTTAAATCTAATTGTTGGGCTGTTTTTTAATTACAATTTTGTGGTTTAAATAACTAATCTAACCAAATATTTGACCACATTTTTAACACATTTTTAAAAATATCAATTTTCTAAATAAATTGAAAATAATATTGCAATCCTGTTATTTTGATTAGGTACTATGGATTCTGATATTCGCTCTGGAACAACTGTTACTAAACATCAGATGATTATAGGATTCAGGAGTTCATTAATGCTTCAAATCCTATGCCGTTCTCTGATATTACCAATGTTATTTTATTTATATTTTAGTTTATATATATATATATAGATCAATATATTATGGCCTTAAATTTTATGATATAAATTATTGTGTACTTTTACATTATTTCTTAAATATAGAGGCCAGTCTAACTTTCGTGAAAAAAGGTCAAATAATTCCATTATTATTGGATTGAAAAGCATCATCATACACATTTTGAGTGATGACGAAAAGGAAAATGCAATTATTACTCCTCAAATCCCGATTTCGTCGTCTAAGTAGTACAGATTATGTTTTGTACCAAATGCGAGTGATGTTATCGATTTAACTCAAGATGATCCCATTCAACCCACTATTGAAGAGAGAAAGCGTGGTCGTCCTAGAAAGATTCTTGGATCAACCTCGAGATTATCTGATTAT